CCAAATTCCTACTCCTTCTAGGACTTTGTCACAACTCAAGAGCCTCAGAGGTTAGTAGGAATAAAAACATAAAATACTCTAAAAATAATATAAAATAAAGATAAAAAATAAATATTAAATTTATAGTTAAAAATATAAATTTAAACTATAATTCAAAGTGTAGAAATTACCACCTTTGTCAAGTGTGTGGTAATTTCCATCAGTATTATTCTATTATAAGTAGACACATGATGTAATTGGCTATAACAATGCATCATGATGTCATGGGGAAATAGATAATACTGTATTTAATCTACCACAATATTCTCATTACATCATGAGAAGAATTACTATTGTAGTACATTAAATAAACATTCTAGAATATTCTAAGAATGCCCCCAAGGGGGACTCTAGAATATAAAAGGAGGCCATTCCTGGCCTAAGATTGTTTCCTCAGCATATTCACCCACAGCATACTTAGTAAGTACAGTGAATATTCTCCACCTACTTTTAGAGTAGTCCTCCCAATCCCAATCTTCCTTTTACTACTGGAATTATTAGTGTGTAACTTTGAAATTCCCCTTTCATCCCTCACTAAAATTCCTTATAAAGCAGTTGCTGCAAGACTACCACCTCTGACAAGTAGCCAATCAGCTCAAGTGCTTGCCAGCTGCTTCTTAGCAATTATTAATTGCTTTGAAATCCAAACTATAACAATTTATTAATTGTTATAATCTCCTGTTATTTGGTTCATTAGAAACAAATAAGCTTAAAGGAGTGTGGACTTAACCTTTGTGGAATTTGGACCACATATAAAGGGTGAAAAAGAGTAATCTTTTTCTTTGATAGTCCTTCAGCACAGTGATAGCACCTGGTTTTTATATTATTTAAACCAGTGTAGCATACACAGAGCTGACAAATCTTTTGTTTTTATGCAAAATGATTGTTCCCATCATTTTGAACATGTCTTAAAGTGTGGGAAATAAATTTGAAATGTCAAAAAAGAATGAAAATTAAGCTCTAAAAACTTAAGTAGAAAAATGGGTGTAATTTGAGTATTAAAAGTGAACCGTTGAGTTTAAAAAAAAGTGGATTGCGCCATTAAATTCTATGCATATTTGAACCTAGGAAATAAATTTAAAATCTCAAAAAAAACATAAAAAATCAGGTACATACATGTATGCAAACAATTAATTGAGAAATGAGTGAAAAAAATAATTAATAACCAAAATTCATTTTTATGAAAAATTGTTTTTACCATTAAATCTACACCTTTTAAAGTGTAGGAAACAACTTTAAAAATTCAAAAAAAATTGAAAAACAAGCGGTAAAAAATTATATACAAAACCGTGTTTAAACGCGGAAACCGTGTGCGCTGTGCCGCAGCAAAACCGTGTGTAAACGCGGAAAAACTGTGTTTTTTTTATTAAGGCACAAATTAAAAATGTCTCAAATCAGCTGAAAATTCATTTTGGAATGTTTGATGAATTTCTATCTCTGGGCTAAAATAGCTCAGTTTAGCCTAATTTCTACTCCTGAGGCATTTTGGAAAAAAATTCCAGAAAATTGATCCATTTTCCCCCACCCAAATTGCCATAAATGTTTTGGGGCAAAATGAATATTGCTTGTAGTGATACAGAGCAGAGAGAGCGGCAAGAGCAAAAGCACAAATTCCAACACTTTTTGGTGGATGGCATCAGGCAAGCAAAGGCACTTGAGGTGTAATTCCCTCCCAGTGGGGGGGGTGGCTTTGACACCAGCCAAACTTCTGTGCCACTCAAGACTGACCTCCTTCACATGGAGGACTTGAATAATTCTAGATTGACTGCTTTTTTGATACTGGGTTTCAGGAACAGCACAGCCACCCCTAATCATTGCCCAAAGTCAAGCACCAATAATATTTTTTTGCTCTTCTGCCTGTGAGGCCTGCAGGCATGTCAGAAATTCAGATCCCATTTATGGCAGAGGTAACACACTGAGGTGTTGACCCCCACTCACCCCAAAAGTTTTTTGGCACTTTTCAAAATTTTGAGGTTCAGCAATTTGTGTGGCCCAAATACTGGTACAGTGGGTTGACAGAAGAAAAAACCCTAACACTGAATCTTGGGGGTCAATCTCACTTTTTTTCAAGCTTTTTTTTTTTGGGGGGGGGGGGGGGCTGGAAAAATGACTACAGGGGTATTTTTTTTTTCATTGCAGAAGCAACTGCAAGGGCCTGTACCACAGCCCCAATTTTGAGGATCAATTTTGAATTTTTAAGTTGGAAATTGAATCTGCCAGAAATGGTGTACCATGCACACCCAATTTCCCACAGTACAGAAGCTGGATTTTCAGTGCCAAACCCAAAATGAATCTTGATTGTTGAAAAATGAAAATGAAAAATTGGCTGGGATACTATGGAACAGGCCCTAAAATTTACAACCCAACAAAAAAATTACATTTTTTTTTCTGATTTTTTGAACAGGACAGGAAAAATAAAAGAGAAAGGTGGGAGGATTTTCAACAGGCTGGAAGGAATGCCAAATGATGAATGAAGAAGAAGTAGAAAAAAACATAAAACCTTTCTTTTTATAATTTTTTACACATTTATTATACCATCATTGGAGTACTTCCTGTTGCAATTTAGAGTGATTTTTAGACCTCTCTCAGTCTTAAATTAAGAATGCAATCAAGATTCCAACCAGCTCACGTGAGAGCTATTTCCAGAAGGCTTGATAAAAAAGGTTTTTTGGATAAAAATTTAGATCTGGTGGGTGTAAATCAATTTCTGGGAGGGTTGTAGATTGTGACAGGAAGTCATCCATTGATGGCCATCCAGTACTTCAGAAAGTTGGCTTGGGGAAGTTGCAGAGTTGATTTTGATCTGTTTGGTGCTGGACTGAAATCAATTTGGAGGTCTTGAGATGAGTGAAATGATTTTGAAATGGAATGGTCAAGAGACTGCAATGTTGATTATCAGCTCAAGCAGGGAGTCACTGCACCCAAATTTCACAGGGGTGACACTTGCAAAATCTGGACCCAAATGTGGGGGGGTTGGATTTTTCTGTCAACCCACTGTACATACAGTACAATTCTGGGCCCAAGTGTAGTCACAATTATACTGAGATCATCTAGATATCATATTCTACAGTAACTGATGTATAGCTAATTTTGATGGAACATAGCTCAATGTATGTACCAAGATGAGACATGAAGATTGATGAATCATAGCTTATGTTCAAAAGGTTACCAAGTGAAAGAGTTGTGCTTGCCGTCATGTATCTATACTTATTAAAAATGATGTCAGCACAATATGAAACGGTATGAAAGCTAGGAAACAGGAATGTCTGACTATGTGATATCATAAAATGGCCTTGTAATTTCTGTAATCTGGTTTGGTACACAGTACCAGGTTTCTGAAACTTTCACTCACTTTGATGTTTGCTGTCTGGATGACCCAATCAAACCCTTTCCAAAAGGAGTTGACTAAGTTGAAATCTGTTGAATGGACAGGATACAGATGATACATTTGGGAAATCTGTCTGGGTGGAGTTCAAAAAAATCCTTCTTACATTTACATGGCTGAAACTACAACAAAAAAAATCTGTAATTGATTTGGTGATCTGGACAAAGGTTCTTTGAGGACTGTCTGGAGATTATTTATACCAGCTGTCAATATCAGTGATCCAAGATAATTCTCTTCATACCAATTTGTTTAATCTACTTCTCAAGTAAGTTTTTCAATTCTCTTTTCTGATTGGTTTGATGATGGCCTGATATTCAACTAACCACTTTGCACACATGCATATCTGACAGGCTTCTCTACAAATTTCCAGTGGTGTGCTCTAACAAGAAGTTCTACTTATTCTTCCATTGCACAGGTATGTTTCAAATTTCTCATTTAAAACATCCATACCCATGTGCAGTGCCTTGATTATAAATCTCAAATTATTTGATTTATCAAATCCAGACAAGGAGTCCAGACCATCTCCCTAATCTTTTAAACTCATCACTCCTCCAAGGAATTGCCAGGTGGGAGCAAAATTCAATATGATTGGTTGGATTGGATAAGCTTGAAGATCTGATCAGTTGATGTGCCTCTTTTTCTTTTCTAGCCTACTTCAAAGACACCACCAAGATGCAGAAAACACAAGCCTTTCTTTGGATCCTACTAATCAGTATTCTACTGGAGGCCAACACCATCCTTGCAGCCAATCATCTAATGAGACAATGGCGTTTAAGGGGAGATGCCTCAGGCAGAGTCACCAGCCTCCCAATAATACCCAACCAAGATGACCACATCATCTTCTCTTCGGATCTAGAAACTAAAGAATGGAAAGTAGAAAACTCTAGTTCTGAGCACTCTCTGCTCTGTAAGATCCGAAAATCAGGCACAATCAATTGGAGAGTCGTCCAGATAATCCCACCCAATTCAGAAATCAGAACTGGTATTGGTATGAAGAAATCCATCTGGGTCGAGTTTTCAATATATCATCCTCGTCCACAAAGGAATAATGCCTTAAATTCGCAGGAAAGACTTTCTGGAGATCTCGTTTCACTTCGCCGGAATAAAAAAAATTTGTCTGATCATGATGTCTCGACTCAACTGGCCTCAAACAATCAGTCTTTACGGAAGATGGTGTTATCATTTTTTATGATGTTACTTGTGATCACTCCCCATGCATTAAGATAATCATAAATCCTTATCTGTGTTTATTTTCTTTCCTTTTTCCTTTCAATTTTTTAATCACAATATAAAATCTATTGGAAAAAAAGTGAGGGTGATCACAGATAATCAAATCCAAAAGCTGTTAGACATTCCAAAAACTTTGTATCCTCATGTGGGGAATGTGCAGTTCTCTTATTAATTTGAGTAAAATGTGTGCAGCAGAGGTGTTCATAGTTTTTTGAGTGGACCACCAAATTAGAAAAAGGGGCTTTAGCTGAGCGGGAGCCCCATGTTCCATCCTACTACTATAAACTAACTGCTACAAATTTATGCTGATCACCGAAAACCAGTAAACAACCAAGAACTACTGAAGATGGGTAAGTTGATCATCTTCTCATCCAACCTCACTCTATCCATCATCAAAACATCCATACTGACTCTCCTTCCTATCGAACTTGCATGTCCGTAACTATCCCCCCGCGTCCGCGTCGTTGAATGGTTCATGGTGATGATTTAATATCAAGTCGAATGGTGCGTCGAATATCTCATTCGTCTTTGGAAGAATGCAATGGGTTGACCATCAGTTGAAAATACGCTGTAATCTTGATCACCTGATCGGCGTGCTTGATGCAGTCCGATCTGCGCCAAACCGATAGCTTCAGGAGATATCAATCGGCATTTGGATCATGACCATTTCGAGCTACGATCTAGCAACCACTCGGAACCCAAACCTCAGCCGACGGTCACCGGCGCTCAATCTACTCTAAACTTCCAACGAACAGTGGCCGGTACTCAGAGAACTGACGCGCAAAATAAAACGACTGGAGGAGCACCAAAAGCCCATAAACGTCCACATGCAACAAACAATCTGACCTCTCTGCATAATGAGCATCTCTCTCAAAGTCAATCTTCTTCTTCTCCGTCTTCTTCTGCCCCGACGTCATCGGTATTATCACCATCCGATCACCGGAAAAAATCTCGCCTCAATCCTCCGTCTGATTCTTTCGTCAAATCTTCTCTTCCTACCCCTTCTGATTCGGATCCCTCAAATTCAAATAAACCATTAGCTGAACGAGTCAGACCGAAAACAATCAATGAATTTCAAGGTAAATAAACAAAAATACTTCCAAGAAAAATTGTGGTCTGAAAAGTGAATATTTCTTGCTTTATGTGTATGTCAAAACAGGACAAGGACATTTAAAATCAGCATTACAAATGATAATGACCAGTAAAAATTCGATCATCTTGTGGGGACCATCCGGCTCAGGAAAAACGACCCTAGCGAGATGCTTGAAGGACGAATTGAATAGACGAGAAGAGGAAGCAGAAAGTAGCAGTCAAAAGAATAAGAAGAAGAAGTACGAGTTCTTTGAACTCTCGGCTACCGACTTCTCGACCTCTGAATGGAAGAAAATCATAGACCAGAATCATCTCTCTTCTGCTTCTTCTAACACTTCTAACACTTCTGGAAACGGATCCAATCAGAAAATCTCTAGCTTTTATAAGAGTTTAAATTCTGCTGTCACTTCGATTCCTATTATCTTTATTGATGAAGTTCAACGATTGAATAAATCTCAACAAGATCGTTAAGTTTCTCAGCCTTATTTCACTGTTTTGTTTTGTTTGTTTGTCAATGAAATCTGACTTGATCATCTTCTTTCTCAACCCCACGCGCAACAACAACAATAAAAACAAGAGTAGTGTTTTTACCATATATAGAAAACGGAAGAATAATCATGATTTTTGCGACGACCGAGAACCCGTCGTTCAGATTAACGACGCCTCTCCAGTCGCGCTGCAGATTACTAAAACTAAACCGACACGACCCAGAAGATCTGAAACGGATCCTAGAACGAGCATTAGAGATTGAAAAGAAATCATCACTTGATGATGTTGCGAATAAAGTTGATTCACAGATGATTGATCTCTTGGCTAATGTGGCTGATGGGGACGCTAGAGTCGCGTTGTCTAACCTCGAACTTATCCTGCTTGCGCTTAAACAAAAACCTGATTTGGGTCATCAGGAACTTAAAGAAATCATCGGGAATAAATTCCTCCTTTATGATCGGTTCGTCCAGGTTCCTTTTGATCTGATTGTGTTGATCATTTTTCCTTCCCCCTTCTGCTTTCCAACACTCTTTCGTTCCCACCAACTAACATCATCATCTTTTTCACTGTACTTTTTTTTCATCTATAATATTTACCTTTTGACATGCTCATAGGAATGGTGACAATCATTACGAATTGATTTCTGCTCTTCATAAAAGCGTCCGAGGAGGGGACGCTGATGCGGCACTTTATTGGCTAGCAAGAATGTTAGGCAAGTTGTTTTGCTTGGTGTTTTCAAATGATCAGTTTTGATGACACATCCATCTTGACTTGATAAATCAACATCTATTTTTACTATGTATCCTTATCAATCAAACAGAAGGCGGAGAAGATCCTCTTTATGTGGGTGTGTTGGCACTGTACTTCAAAACAAAAAAAATTTAGTAGATCAAGAATCTTTTGAAACTACAAGGTTGACATAATGATGTATGAAAACTATGAAAGCCAGAAGATTGATACGAATGGCGTCTGAAGACATAGGATTATCGAATCCGATGGCCGTGACACAAGCCGTCAGTGCCTATCAAGCCACCCAATTAATCGGTATATATACATCTATATAGCCCCCATTTTTTTCTTTTCGAAGATCTGAATTAATGTCTAATCTGGTCCTTTTTTTTTGCACGTGCTTTAGGTATGCCTGAATGTGATTGCATTTTGGCTCAAGTAGTCGTTATGTTGGCCGAATCACCAAAGAGCGTAAGGACTTATAAGGGGTACATAACTTATTTTTATTTCATCTTTAATTCTTTGATTCAATGTCGTTTATCCTGTTGAGAGATTCATTTACTTTTTTTTGTAGGTACAAGCGGGCCAAGGCTCTTGTCAACTCTCTTCCCTCTTATCCTGTACCAATTCATCTACGGAATGCACCGACTAAGATGATGAACGAAGTGAGTATTAGGGCTTTTTTGTTTGTGTTTAAACAAATCATTAATAGGCATCATGATCAACATTCTCATGCGAAATCATTCTGGTTTCCTTGTGACTGCACCATACAAAGCTCGGCTATGGGGCCGAATATAAGTATGAGCCAGATTATGCGCATCCGATTTACCAAGAATTCGTGCCCCCTGAAGTGGTAGATCGAGGAACAAGACAAGGATCATCAAATGATATGGACACCATTAGTTATCCGTTTCTGGTCCCAAGATCAATCAGAATCGACCAACACTCTTCTTCTTGTTCCGATCATCAGCGTACAAAAGATGATGATGATTACCAAAATAAAACCGGCTCGAGTCATCAAGATTACAACAAGTCCAGTCTTCAAACCGTCACTTCTCAGCCTACTCAGTCGGTAACAATCGATGGTCAATTGGTCGACTTGGAGTTGCTTCGGCAATGGGAAGTCAAGGTCAATAATGGTCAACCATGGATTGGCAGGAATCGTTTACAACAACAATAATCTTTGTGCCTCTTCTTTCTACATGTTTCAAAAAAAAGAGGGGCTGTGTTCATCTTTAGGTTGTGACCAGTTAAACACAGTAACACTTCTTTTCTTGAAGAAGGAGGTATGTGAACCTCATATAGCATGATCGTAATCCTTGTCTCTGTTTCTAATTCTTTCATTTGTGTGGGATCATGGTCCCTCGACTATTGTAAAACCTGATTAAGTGTTTATCCCAGGCTTGTGTTTAGTTCGCCACCTGCTTTAATCCTCCCAGCTCCTCCTCACCGGACGCTCTAATCTCCATCTACCGCTATCCATCCCTTCTGGGCGCGCTACACCTTTTTTGGCTTGGGCGGAACAGCCCACGCGGATAGTCCCAGCGCGAGTTGGAAAATCATCCTTTGGTCAGATGATGCACCATCGCCAGGGCTCCCTTGCCAAACTGAAGGGGAAGTGTGATCCCGCTCTAGTCAGCTTTGGCTGATGGCAACTCACCGACATATCACTTGGCTCGGTGCGAGCTCAATTGGCTCCCCGAGGACCCATGAGGGACACCCTCAAGTTGTGTTTGTGCACTATTAACCATCTTTTCACCGCAGAATCCGAATAATTTGAAAGATATTGAGCACCGGAACGCGACTGCAAGCTGAGAAGCCGCTAAGAAAACGAGGCAAGAGCTGATGAAGT